AATATTTTTAACATGGCAGTTTTAAGCACTATTTAACTTATATATGTTAACAAAAAAGAGAAAAACATACTTCTCCTTTAGGTTCTCCAAGAAATTGCTCTAAATTAGAGTTTCTGGATAACATTGTAGCAAGACTGGAAACTTTTTTGAGGGCTCTTAAGCAGTTTTCTTAAAAAGTTTCTAAAAAAAAAATTTGGAGCTAGTTTTGAAAAGTTCTTCCCTTTAACTATACCAATTTTAGTACGACTTAGCGCCATTTTTCCATTTTTAGCTTCAACCTCTTCTCAATAAATTTAATTCACAAAAATTTTATCGCTTTAAATTAATCATACTTTTTTATTGTCCATAAACAGTAACTTTCATCTTCTTAAATTTTTACCATTAGTTATTAATTTTTATTAGGTAATCCAATGCTTGCATGCTGCATTAATAAATTCTTTTCTAGAAAAGCTTTCACTTTTCGTAATTATTTAAATTTTCTAATATTATATATAGTCTTCTTGATCCAGTTATAATTTATAAGTGACATAGTTTAACAAATGTTAATTTTTATATTAAGGTTTAGCTTTTAAAAATTTTTAAACAATAGATACTTTATTAATTCAACGGTTTTCAAAAAACCTACTGTTTCCAAAGCTTGGTTTTAATATAATCATTAATATTACTAAAATGTTTAGTTTTGCTTAAACTAAAGGTTTGTAATATATTTTACATAACTTTGTATTGGTAAAATTAATTAAGTAGTTTTATAAATAAATGAGCAGTTCTCTGGTTAAATTCTAATCACATATTTAAATTTATGTAAGTGTTAAGTATTTAAGAGCAACCTAAAAATAATACGACGTAAAGTAGAGAAAAATGGAAATCTTATAGATAGTTATATAAAAAACAGCTTAGCGAGTTAAGTAAAATCAGTACATATTAACTAAATAACATAAAAAAATTTTAATAACATATTTAAACTTTTTTTACTCTTTTGCTTTTATCAGAACCCTAGTTTGTACAAATGTAAACATTTTTTAAAACCGTTGAGATATGTATAAGTTGTGCTGATTCTGAAAGGATAATTATTATAATTTTTAATGTCAAACAAGAAGCCTTACTTGGTTAATATTAAATAAAACATGTTACAAGATATTTTTTGATAAACCAGAGAAATAATGGTGTAGAAACGTAGAGTTTTATACTGTTAATTCGATACCTTAATAAATGATTCCTAGACCCTTAAGGTGGACGTTCACTTGGGAAAACTAATATATACTAAACGCTTTACTGATGGGTCCCAACCATCAAGGGCAGCTTATAATTTTTTTTTTATTTCAAATTTTTATTGTAAATTAAAAAATCTATGTAAGGATTTCTTATCTTACACTATTCTATAATGTTCATATTTTATAAAAAAAGAATGAAAATTGTTGAATTCCTTTACTTATTTATCTAAACCTTCCTGTACTTCGTATAGTGCTTACTATAACATGTTAGGGCACCGTAAAAATCAGCCAGTTATTGTTATTTCATTTAATTTTCAGTTTTTTAAACTTAGTTTGAGCAATTTGTACAGTTATACTAAATATACATATTAGTTTTGCTGTTTCTAAGCTAAATAGGGATAACAATTAAATACAAAGTTGAGGGCGGGGGTGATACTATCCGGCTAATTCGAACAAGTGCTTATACCAAGACTAAGCAAGCTGCGCTCGACTTAACAATGCATTTGCGTAAGCTTTTAAGTGAATAGTTTAAAATTAACTTTCTGGGGGTAAAAGTTACTTAAGCATATAGAAGCGTTGCCGTGGAACAAAAGGCAGGAAGAAGGCTTCTTTATAATTATTTAGTAAAATGTTCTTATTTTTAAAATAAATAAGACACCCTACGTTTACCTTAAATCTTAAAGGCTAAAACTTCAAAACGTATAATTATAAATTAAAGGCCTCCTTAGTTATATTGTACGAAATCAACCATAGACTAGTGGTGCTTTAGCTAACTCGATTTAAGAGGTTTTAAAAAGGCTTAAAAAATTGAAATAATTACTCAAGTAGTGGCTACGTATGATGTTCACCCTTAGTCAGAAGAACCGGAAATGTGTGCTAACCAACTTACAGGTTTAGCTTTCCATGATTCCTACATTTTTACCTACAAGCTCAATTGTACTCTTTTATTAACTATATAATGAAATCAAGTTAAAAGAAGCTGAAAAGTGTTGTGGAGTTATAACAAAAAAAGTTATACTCCTATACATACGTAACAATTTTTTTAATAGTTGAGCTTTACTTTAGACCGTATTTGCTTCTACATATTCATAGGTTTGTTTGTTAACCTTACTAAAATACTTTATCATCGATTTCGAGGGTCTCAAAAATGCACTTTTCGCAAACTTTACAATTCTTGAAAACTGAAAATAATTATCTTTAGATGAAGTAAAAACTTTGCAAGATTATTATAGTACGCATCATAACAGTGCTTTAAACCAAAAAAGCTACTTATACTCTACAACACATACAGAAAAAGGTAAAGGAAGCATAGGTGTAGGTAAAGCTTAATTCACTTCCTTTTCTTACTAATCTTAACTAACAAAGAAAATTTCATAAACCAAACAGTAAAGCACAGAACCCTTCGCCACGACAGAAATAATTACAGGAAAAAAAGGTCATGCGGTGACCAAACAAACGTTTGGACCAATCAGTTGTGGCTACAGGAGCTTAATGTTTCACATTAGGCAGGGCCAATTAACCTAAATTAACCTTAATTGCAGCAATCGAACGTTAGAATTTTTAAATAATATAATTTTAAATTGAGCGATCGGAAACTACTTCGCGTGCTTCAAACCCGGAAGTGCTTTAGCGGAGTTGTTACGCTCCTTCCTCGGCTGTATCTAATTGTGTTAATTTCAATCTTTACTTGGAATTTTGGGCTAATATTTTTGATAAAACGCTAAAAGTTAGGTATATTTCTTACCACGATATTTATAAAACAATATAATGTTTATATTGTTTCTATAATATTTAATTTTTACTATTATACATAGATCTTGTTGTTTCTGTAGTTTTTTTGCCTTGTACATTTGTAATATGTACGCCTCTTCGCCACAGTCGACTTTAACAAACAGCGTTAGCGCAAGGGGTTGGGGCGTTGAGTTAAAGAAAACTGAAGTTCAAGACAATAATTCCAGTAATTATGTTTATTTAAAAAGTAATAGGAATCGTAAAGTAGTTAAAACTTGGCGCCTTCAGAATGGCTCTGATGAGTGTTCCATTAATTTATTAAGCTCTGTATTGACCACGAAAAATGGTTCATACTGTAAAAAACATGATAGTAATAGTCTTAACGCCTTACATGCTTCTAATAACAACATTGCTATTGCTGGCGGTAAGTATAATAGTAAACCTTATAATAATAATGAAAATAATAGTAGTAATAATAATAATCTTAACACCAGCAGCACCAACAACAATGAACTTGTTAATAATTATAGTAGTAATAAAGGAAGTACGAAGGGTAGTGTTAGTACTGATATCCCTAGCGGCGATGCCGTTGTTCCTAGTACTGTCACTTCAAGTAGTTTAGAGAATGAACTTATTTTAAACCAATTACAAGTACATTTACACGACGTCGCTTCTACCCCTTCTAATACTTTAGAATATCCGTTATTGTTGCTTGCTGAAGCTGAGGATCTAGCGAGTCAGCAAGTTGCTTATTTTCAGGAAAGTCGCTATCCCGTTGACCCTGAAATGCGAACACTTAGAAGTCGTTTAATCTCTACTCTATCAAAAATAATATTTTTGGATTTTGACTTCGCTGTGGAAAACGATGTGGATAAAAAACTTTGGAAACTTTGTTTTCATAAGTCTATTGAAGAATATCGTAAAACAATTAGAGAAATTTCTTTAAGTATTGAGTCTTTACGGAAATCTGAAGTGATGTCTAGTGATCCGACTTGTTTGACAACTGCTTCGAAAGCTTTAGTTCTTCAAAATAAAATTCTAGAGTTATCAAGATTATGTCGTTGTTTTCGAGGTTTACTCAACGAAGCTGTAGGGTTTTATACTTACTTAGCTGAAAGGTTTTCTATTATAAGCTATTATTTCTTACCATGCTTATATAATTGCCCAAGGCATGCTTCCTATCTTAGATTTTTTATTTTAAATTTTAAATTTTTAGGTAAACTTAAAAACTTAACTCTATTTTATAGACTCGCCCGTTGCTTTGATCTCCACTTTAGTTCACTGGTCTCCTTTGATTCTGTCGGGTTTTCCGAGTGTCCCACTTATGAACAGCCCACTGCTGCAAGCCGTTATCCAGCTCTTTTAAGCGTCCACCGTTGTTTAATTTATCTCGGTGATCTTGGTACTACTAAAAAGTTTTATTTTCCTATAATAATAAACGTCTCACTTTTTTATCCACTATGTACTGTTTTAGCTCGTTATTTCGAGGTCAGTTGTGAAGTAACCTCGAAAGATTTTATCATAAGCCGAGATTACTATTTACAAGCTCTTGGACTTTTATCCATCAATGGTCTTCCACACAATCAACTGGCTGTCTTGAACACGTACTCTGAGGATTATTGCGGTGCTGTGTATCGCTATTGTCGGAGGTTTTTATATAAGAGACCACGTTGCCGTGTGCTTCTTTCTACGCTTTCGCTCTCTGCTACAGTTTGCTGGTTGCCGAGCCTTTTGAAACTGCTAAGTGGAACTTGCAAAAAGTTTTTGAGGGCTTTAAGACAGGAAAAGCTTCTTGTATAGAGAGACATCGGAATTATAAGAAAGCACCAGCACTGCAAGAGTTTCTTCAGGCGTTTCTGGAACTTCACAGTCGCTTTTTTCACGGGGAAAGGTGGTAATATTAGCGCAGACTGTAGCGTTGCTCACTTTTATCACTAGTAGCATTGAATCACTCCGCGTGCCCATGAAGCAGCTTCTGACTAAATTGCTGGTTGCTATAAAGAAGAAGGCCATCTGCAGCAGTACCATGTTTCAGCTTGTTATTATTAATATATCGCTCTTTTACGGCTACGGGAAAGACACTGTTCCCACCGGTTCTTCGACCGTTTGAGCTTTTTGTCTTTTTCATAATCTTTCACAACAGTCATAGAGACTTATTCTCTTCGTCGGGATTTTGCTACTGAATTTATCTTTAACTTCATGGCGACAGTTCTGACATCGACCTCAAAGTTTGTTCAAACGGCTGCTCAGCTAGAGAGCAGCAATGACTCGGATCCCCCCGACAACAGAGTTCCTTACAGACGCAGAATGCCCAAGCAAAAGAACCGCGGCGACCATCCGCCGTTTATGTCATCTCTGAAAGTGTTTTTTGATTGGCTGCGCTGGTCCTGTGATGCCTGGTGGCCTCCCCATGAGCGCTCACGTCAGTTGTTGAATCGTCGTTTGCTTCCTAGTTTGGTACGTTTTTCTACCCACAAGGTCGAGTTTCCGTTTTACTTTTTTTTTTAGGCTTCGATGATTCATTTTTTGCCACTCGCTTTTAAACTACCCAAAGATCTACTGCTCTCTGTCACGGTCTTCTGGCGGCAGCCCTCGCCTCTTCCGGAAGACATCGAGCTTCAAGGCTTCTCGCCACTATCTACTGCTGTTAGTAAGTACGTGATGGACGGGAAACCCACCGAGGAACCTCTTCACATCCGCGTTCAGTGTTTTGTAGCATTTGCCCAATGGGCCATACAGAAGTTTGACTGCCGTGACTTATTTTTGGGGCCTGGTCGTCTCAGTAGTGCCGTTTCGCCAATTTTTTTTGAATCTTTTGGAGAAAAGCTTTATGGAAACCTTAATGTGGGCGTAACGCTTGCCGATAGTCGCAAAGACTGTTTAAGCGCTGCCAGCGCATTTAAAACCAGCGAGGCAGAACTTGACGGCAGTAAGCAAAGTTATGTAGAAGCCGATGACGATGATGGCGCTGACCTCCTTCACGCCGCTAGTGCTTATGTAGCACCTCCTCATCTTTTAGAGCACCATGATCCCGTTACTAACGAAACTGTCTCCCCTCCAAGCTTATCTGCCATATATTCCTCTCCCGTTCTCCCTTTCAACGAAAAAGATTTTCCGCATATACCCTCTGCTTGTACGAAAAGCGAGGATGACGACTTGGTTCATCTTTGTCAAACTGCCGCCCTACCAAACACTTATGAGCCCGGCCTATCCCCTAAATCCGCTCAAGAAATTCCTTCTTCCGCCCTCAATGTAAATTACTTTAAAGCGTTTTCTTTTTCTCCAGGGGGTTGCACAACCTCAGAGCGCCGCAATGATTACTCGCTTTTCGGGTTGGTAGAACCGATATCGCCTTCTTGCGTCAATGAGAGCCCCTTCCTTCCTCCGTACCTGGCGCCTTTATCTCAGTGGCGCCCCCGCTGTGACTGGCATACCCCCTTGCCTACCACCGAAGTAAAGGACTTTGCGGCGATCCACCGGGAAGGCAGCAACGCGGGGGATACGTGTGAATCCGGTGATACTGGTTCTCGGTTACTCACTTCATCGAAATTACTAGGAAGCGTACTAAAGTCAAGTTCTTCTGAGTACGCTTCTTTTACCGCGTCCACTTCTCGGTCGTACCTTCTTTTATGATATTCCCTTCAGCTAATAACAAAAACTCATTGTAACTTTACCTATAGAAGTGGTCGTCTTGATAGTGATGGTGAGCGGAATTCTGAAACTTGAATTATAAATTTTAGGCCAACTATGATATTAGCCTACAATACCCGCTCTCACCGCTTCTAAGTTGGCTCTTGTTAAGCCAGCATAGCATGTGCGTATGCGAGGAGCGCAACTGCAAGTCTTTGCGCTATAGTTGAACTTTTTTCTTCTTTTATAGTCTCTGAAGGCTGAGCAAGCGAAACTTAAACCACTCGGTTCTCCGATTCTTATTGTACTCTAGTACGATTGAGTTAATTTCTTGAATATAATTTCCTGACTGGTCAAATTGAAAGGCTTTGTACCTATCTGTATATCCCTTTTCTAATTAAAACTTATAAAATTATTGTTACAATAATATAGTCTTCCTTATATACGTTTATGTGCGCTGTTATGCCCTTTGCAAAGTTACGATTTTAGACTATGTTTTATAGGCCGTATAGAAGTATTGACTTTAGCGGAGACTTTTATCTATATAGTAATATGCATTATTACAAATTTGCGGGCAGTTCCATATGGTAGCCTTATACTTATGATAAACGTGCAACGTTACTGATTTTGTAAAAATTGTTAAAATTGTATTATGGTTCTGGTGTTACTACGGGTGATCTATACTTTAGCAAAACTTTTCTTGTAGGCCAACTTTATATTAAACAATATAGGATTGCCAGTTGTGTACCTCCATATACGGGATGCAGTATTTACAAACGCGCAATTTTACTGATTTTTCGTTTTATTTTTTATGATTTTGGCATCACTACGTTAAACTAAGAGTTGGCCTCTCTTTTATTTTGAAGATCAACCTGAGGATTGCCAACTGTCCACCTTCTTTGACTCATTCGAAATATAAATGTACTTTAAGTATAAACAATACAGCAAAACAAACATTGTTCGGAAAGTTTTGAGTTATGATTTTTAAATTTTTTACTTACAGGTTTTGAAGTGAGGGGGCTTTTGAAACACACCCACATTTTGAGGAAAGTATTAGCTTAATTTAAGAAAAAGAAACGTAAAAGTATTCTCTTGTCCAGCAAAAAGCAATAAAAAACAGAACTTAAGGAGATAGGTTGGTTTTCTTAGTTTAATTTTTTTTTAAAAAAATTAAAAAAGTAAGCTCTTTTTATTAACAGAGTTAGAAAATAATATAAGTTATTTAATATATTGGCCATTTTAACAATTGTATTGAACTGCTACCAACTTTTTTATTAAAGTAGGTATGGAAATAATTGCTTACAAAAAATGTTAGGCACCTCTTTTAGAGGCCTTTATTGTTTAAAACCAATATAAAAAGAGAGGGCCCGATAAGTATTACTTCGCTCAACAATCTATGCTCTCTTAAAGTACGATAATACGGGCAAGTCTCAACTTGAAGTTGACCTTTTCAATGTAAGCTTTCTATGAAACTGTAAGCAGAAAACTTGTTTGAAAAGTAGTTCAGGAGCCTTTATTAGTAATTATAATTGACGTAGGGCTGCAACGATACCAATACTTCGGTACATTTTTTACAGCACTTTTATCTTTTCAAAAGTATTAAACTTTTTTTAACACAAAGATTTAAGTATTTGCTTGAGTTATTAACTGAACAGCTTAGCTTTACCATAAAAGTCAAGTTTGGAATTCTCATTAAAAGGTTTGCGAATTTAAGTACTAAGTAAACCCGTTTATGGGTGGCAGTCGTCGCTATTAATTAATGTCCATAATTAGTTTGATAAATTAAGAATATACAATACCACTGGTTCTTAGTTTTACTCTAGTACCCGTAGTTCTTATTGAGTAACTATAGCGTCTCTAACGTAACACTAAAGAGAATGCTTGATGAAAAACTTTTTGAAATAGCTTGCGCCCGCCAGAAGATTGAAGCCCCGGGTTGACATAGCCTCATAGTTATATGTACACACCTTAACTCAGGAACCCTTTCTGTATGGTATAGTCGCACACTCTCTTTATAGCTCATATAATTATTGGGCTATTCCAAATTAATAATTCCTGTTATGCTCCCTTTTTTAATTGGTGGCAAGGACACTTTCTTACAACGGAACATAAAAAGTTAAAATCTTATAAGGTTAAGGGGTAACCACTTTAAAGATCCGTAAGAAAACTCATATATGTGATCAAAATTCGTATAAAAGAACAGACCACCATGGGCAACTAAAGCTGAAGACTTTCGATATTGACAACACTATCCGGCTTGATTACAACCATAACTTGCAACAGCATAAAACGTGGTTCTTAATGTAAAGGTCCACGCCTTTTTAATATGTTGAATTAAATTTATTGTTTTCTGATTAGTTTAAAACATTTATTGCTACAATTTAAAAATATTATTTAAAAACTTTATAAACCCTATCACTTACTCCATTGGACCTGAAATGTCCCTGTTATAAACTCTAGACTATGATTTTTTCGGGTTTTCTTTGGTTATTGTATTTGTTTGTATATTATGTGGTTCTTTAATAATATTTCTGAAGAAAGATGCATCAATTCAGTTTAAATTTCTTGAGTCAAGGTTAGTTTCCTGTTTCACACTAACATATAATAGAAAAGCAGATAAGTGCGCAGCTTTTCTAACATAAATTTAACACCTTTTTAAAATGAAATATACATGTGTAAACAGAAAAAATTAAAAGGGGGTGAACATTTAATGTCCACCAATACTAAACAAACATTGTAAAGCAAACATTAAAACAACTAAAATACTTTGTTAGTTAAATTATAAGATCATAAAGGCACGAACTAAAACAAGTGTTTATGAAAGCAATACTTAAAATGTTTAATACTCTAACAGTAAATCTTATAGCGACAGTATATTTTGAACAGCTAATTTAAATAAAAAGAAAAGTTTTAATTAAAATATTTACGGGACAAGAGTAAATTATAAAAATTAAGAACGCAAATCTTTTAAATATCATGAAAATTTATTCCCCTCCGTTCATTCTTTTAACATTAATTTACCTAAAATGCCTTATAACTATCAGTACATGTTTACGTCACATAAAAAGCTTTTAATTCAAGCTTGCCATATATAGGTATAGGAGCCGGACAATTTTACTATTTAAGAAGCATTTAGCAACGAAAGGAACAGGAGAAAATTCATATTGCCAGGGGTGAAGAAGGAAAACTACTCTAAAAAAAGTAATTATGATTGCAAAATTTAAATTTTTATATACTGTAATAACCGTTTTCGCTATTGAAGTTTACCCAAGTGCTAAACTTTGTATAAATCATCATCCTAACTGTTTAGGTAACACTAATTGCTATAATATTACTAATAGTTGCCACCAAAATTTTAAAGCATTCGAAGACGAGAACGAGATAGTACTCGATTATTATTATACAAGTAACGATTGCCAAGGAAATTACGAAAGGTTTTTGGTGGATAATGCAACATGTGAACTCGTGGAATTTGGATCTCATAGATTGGGCTATATAATGACAACAATAAAAAAGAATGGTGATTTCATTACTAACGCCATGCTGAAGTATACAGGCACTATAATTAGCATATTTTTTTTAATCATTATGTGAGAACGAAGACACCTAAAAAATAAAAAAACTTCGCTTTTAGATGTATATTTACACAAGTCAACTACAAACACCTTGCAGTCTCTAGTCATTACGCCAGCAAATTTAATGCTTTAAAGGGGATGGGGGTTAAACATTATAATCGTAAACGGTGAGTATATAATTTTAGCTAAAAAGCGCGCTCTGGCGGTATCCCAGTGGGCATTCTTACTGTGGCAAACCCCGTTAAACTTGGGAAAGGTTTGAAAAGTCTAAACTGGTTTAAGCTAATATTGTTCAATTATAAGTATAATAAATGTGCTAGCGAATTTTTCAAATATTGCTTAGTTGCAATACAATCTCATGCTTTAATTTAAACCTTACAAGCATTTTACCATTAACAAGAAGTTTCTAGTTCCTTTCCAACATCACATGGCTCGTATACAAACCTGCTATTGAAAACACAGGGGACTAGTGGGTTGCATTAGCCCCGCCTACCTTTTATGTTGAGTTCAACATCAATTCATCAGTTTTAAAAAAAGAACTATTTCTAAATTTTTTAGGGTAACAGTGTAAGTTTTTAAAATTTGTACTATTCTTTAAGAATTATGCAACTAAGAGTTACACTGCAAAGTAATTTATGACCGAGTTAATATTTATATACGATATTCCCTGGCACCCGATCCAAATGATATACCAATTTGGCGAGTAATAAACACAGAGTTTAAGCAGCTACTTTAACCTTCGCTACTTCAGCTCAAGTCAAGTCCACTTTTTTGTATAAGTTAGGAGTCTTAAAAAATTAGATCATAAATGAATATTTATAGGAGCTAAATCCTTTAAAAGTTATGATAGCGACAAAATCAAGATAAATGGGTTAGTAATAATAATAAAAAGTTATAAAGCAGTTTATCGTGAACTAATTTTAAAAGGTTCGGAACTCACTAATCTAATTTTTCTCTTAAATCGCAGGCTTTATCAAAAATTGTTTACTCTATAAAAACAAAAAAAAATGATTGTTTTTTCTTATAGCAACAAATAAAATTTAGAAAACAATTTTAATAACAAAACTTTACTTTAGGTTATGAAAAAAAAAGTGACGAAAATTTAGCTCATAAAAACTTAAAAATATACTATATACGTTATTTGAAATAAAAACTCTCTTGCTAGTAAGCAGAAACAGCTCTTACGTACAAACAGTATATTAACAAGGGATTCGTTGTTCAAAAAAAACTGTTTAGAGGATCTAAGAAAAGTTGTATACAGATATAGGCTTTAACAATTAAAAGTCACCAAAACATTTTTTTAGCGATTGAAAATAATTACACTTGTATCTAAAGTGTACTCATTCGCTCCGCCTTGATGGGTTGGTTTGGTGGTGCATTGACGAATAGTGTATTTACTAGTATTATCTATATGCCGTGGACCCCAATATTTTGGTTTTCATGCTCAAATTTTTTTAAAGGTAGAGTTTTTATGAAGTTTCTATACCTATTAAAGCTTAATACACTTTAATATGTGCGTCTATAGCAAAATAAAAAGAAATACAATCATTTAATACATTTTAAAGCGAAGTGTAATAGTTAGGAAATATAACCTATAAACATAATACTTGCAACTTTCTACGATTACATGTGAGAAACCAGAGGTAAATAGTACAGTCAAATGCTTAGACTTTTACGTCTACTCACAAGCAGTCGAAGTTGTTATTAGTGTAGATACTTACTGACTTCAATGAGGTTAGGTTTTCCTAAAA